ATGGACAATAACAAGTGTTAGCGAAATGGAGAAATTGTAACTCTCATATATTATTACCAGTGGGAATGTAAAACGGTACAGTCACTTTAGAAATAGTTTAACAGTTCCTCAAAATATTAAACAAGTTACGTATAACTCAGAAATTCCACACCCAAGAGAATTAAAAACATATGTCCACACAAAAAACTGTACAGTATGTTCATAATAATCTTTAAGAAGTGGAGCCCTAACTGATGTGGCTCAGTGGATTGAGTGCCAGCCTGTGAACCAAAAGGCTGCTGGTTCGATTCCTGGTCAGGGCACATGGCTGGGTTGTGGGCCAGGTCCCTGGTTGGGGGCATGAGGGGCATCCACACACTGATGTTTGTCTCCCTCTCTTTCTCCCTCCTTTCCCCTCTCTTTAAAAATAAATACTTTTTAAAAAGAGAAACACATGTGCAGCAGGAGATTTAATCAGAAATATTCAGAACAGCACTGTTCTTAACAAAAAAAAAAATTGGAAGAGATCCAGTAGAATACATAAATTGTATGTTAATATATGAATACTACACAACAGTGAAAATGAATGCATCTGCATGTCTGTCAATAATCTCAAAAACACAATTATGAAAATAGAAGTTCAAAGAATCTATTACAATGATTCCATTTAGATGCATTTTTACAATAAAGACACTGGATTTCATTTCTCACCTTGAACAACTAGAAAACCATACAAAATATATGAAGCAGTAGATTTCAGCAATGGATAATGGCAACACAGGACTACAGTCCTGTGGATAGAAAACGAAAATAGAGCATGTAAGTCTGAGGAGACAAAGACAGAAGTTTGAGAGGACCAATGTGGCTAGAATTTGTGAGGCAGAATACTAGAGATAGTTTTGCAGAGAGCATGCTCAAGGTCTTGAGAGGTGTCCCTTTGAGTCTTTAACTGAGTACTGACAAAGCGTGAGAATTACCAGCACCGGAAAAAAGATCACTGAAAAGAAGTAGGCAGAACAATTCCTGGAGCTCACTCAGGGCTGGAATAAGAAAGTAAATAAGTAATTTTGCCTTAGTAGTGGGGCTAAATTAGCTCTAGAAAAAAGGAAGTATTGGGCCTGTCCTAAGGGGGGGGAAAGCTTAAAAGTAAGCCTCATATAAAATAAAAATTTCCTAAGGAAAACAAAAGTAAGCCTCAAAGGGATCCAACAAATTCTAAGAAGTGTACACCAGAAGTAAAGCCAACACTACTTAAAGGAATATAACAAAACCCAATAACTAACAATGTAAATTCACAATTGTGTAGCATTTAGTAAAAAATTATCAATCATTTAAAAGAAGCAGCAAAATACAGACAATTACCAGAATAAAAAATCAATTGGCACAGACCAAAAAAATGACAAATTTGATGGAACTAGCACCTGAGGACACTAAAACAGCTATTATAACTATGCTTCATATGTTCAAGAATATAGAGGAAAGCACAATCATGATAAGGAAAGAAATGGAAAATATTTTTAAAAAGATCCAGATGGAATTGCTAAAGATGGAAAAATACAGTATCTGAAATGAAAAATGCACTTTTGGGGAACTGATAAAACACTGAGGAAGATCAGTTAGCTTGAAGATATCAGAAATGAAGAAGAAAAAGAATAAAGACTGAAAAAATGGACAGAGCATGAGTAACCTGTGGCAAAATATCAAGCAGTCTGTGTGTCAGGAGATAAGAAGGGACAAAAAATTGACAAAGCAAAGGTCAAAGTTTTTACAAACTTTATTAAAACTATAAGTCTTTGGATTGAGGAAGCTCAATGAACCCCTTTGTTTGAGAATAAACAAAGCTCAAAAACACATTAAATCAATCACTGTATTAAAGATACACATATGGTAAAAATGACAAAAAAAAAGGAAAGGCAAGATTAAACAAAATTCAGGACAGTGGTTATCTCTATGGTGATGGATGGGGGATGATTAGAGAGGGGAACTCAAAGGCTCCAAATGTTATCAGTATGTGCTTTTTGTCAAGTGGCATAAAGGGTAGGCATATTTTGGGGGGGTTTTAGATTTATTTATTTTTAGAGACAGCATAATGGAGGCAGAGAAACATCTCATGCGCCCTCTACTGGAGACCTGGCCTGCAACCCAAGCTTGTGCCCTGACTGGGAATCGAACCCATGACCCTTTGGTTCACAGGCCACGCTCAATCCAGAGCCACACCAGCCAGGGCCATTTTTATTATTATTGTTCTTTAAATTACACACATACAAAATACTTTCGCGTGTATAATAAAGAGATAATAAAAAGTAGAAAATAAATTAATGAAGCTCCTTTATTCTTCTATGCTGACTATAACACAAGCCAAAAACCAGGGAGTCATCCTTGACCACTACCTCAACCAAATCCAATTAATTATTGCTCCTAAATCTTTCTAATCTTCCACAGCTTGATCCAAACCTCCTTCAACTCTCACTCGGAGCACTGAAACCCCATCCTCTTCCTGAAGGCAAAGAAACCACTTTTTAAAATGTGATTAATTGTACCTTTTTAGTTTGAATCCAATCTTGTCCACATATTATCTGAAGCAAGAGAGATAAGTAAGTTGGCCAAGACCACGAAGCCAAGACATGGTTGAGAAAGGGTTCAAAATTTACTAGTCTTACAGAGAACCAACAATGCCTTTCCCACCCACTATCCTGCCTTGTATTGAACAAGATAATACTGGGAAAGGCTTAGCCCAAAACTAGCACAGGGTAATTATTGGTTAAAAAAGATCAATTTCTCCTTCTCTAATCACCCCTCACCATGGAAGTGACCTTGTATCCAGGTGTGAATGAGATGTCTTTGGTATTCAAAACCTGGGTCCTTGGGGCCAGTAATTGGGTCACATGAGTACCCTCTGTCCCTACTTAAAAAAAAAAAAAAATCATATCCGCTCTCCTCACTTGGAATTTTGGTGGAGAGTACCTGGAACCCTGGCACAGGCACACTGGGAGGATACCAAGGTGGCCGTGCAGAACAGAGGTAGGGTGGAAGCCACAGCTGTGGGACTTCCCCAGCTGCCCAGAATGAGTTCGAGCACAGCGGGTCAGCTCTTCGCCGTGGCAGCCCTTTCAGGGTGTCTGTCCGGGCTCTCTGCCCTGCGGCAGGCACAGTCCCGCTCTGAGTTCTCAGTGTTCAGCACCAAGCATGACCAGGGGTAAACGTGCAGGAAATGAGAAGTCTGGGGACCCCCGTGAGCTCTTCAGGTCGGACTCAGGCACCTTGAGATGTCTTTCTTCCCTGACATACTCTTCCGCTGTTTCCACGCCATCCACCATGAGTCCCCACAGCTGTGCCGCTTTCTGGACCATGGGATCAAATATAGTTGGCCAAGCCAACGGAAGCTTGTAGGCTGACTCTCCTCTGGACAGTTGCCAGGTACAGGGTTCTCCCTGCCTGGAACTCTCTTTCCTCTTCTTTTACAGCCTCTGTTGATTTCCATATTTAGGGGGTTACTAAATGTCACATACACTTGCTTGTTGAGCTCAAAGGTCACCTCCTCCAAAAGCCCTTCTGGCCTGCCCCTTTAGGTGCTCCTCTCCATGGTCACTGCACCTAGGTGGACCTCTCAGGCCCTAGACCAAATGTCTCATGGACCCCAGGGACCAGTCCTGATTCATCGCACTGTGGCCATCACCTGGCAGTGCTTGCGAGGCATCAGACTAGGTAGAGGCGACACCTATAGAAGGCACTTATCTTACTTAAGAGACCTACCTCTGAAGGAGACAGATGCTGGTTGGGATCCCAGCTCTGCCACTTGAGAGCCTGGGCAAGTCCCTTTCTATGAATTTGCTGGTCTGGCTTAGAAGCCCAGAAGTGAAGTTTTGAACTACCTGGCTAAGCTGCCAGGATAGCCATTATGCCCTCAACCCTAGGGGAGGGGCAGGGAGGACCATTCAGTACCTGGTATGTGGTAGGCCAGGGACCTGAGCTCTGTAAAGAGGTGGGGAAGTTACCGTGGGGTTTGCCCTTCTCTGCCCTAGTCTCATCTCCACCCTCAAGTCACCTAGAAAACAGAGCCTAAAACAAGAACTATGTACAAGAACTATTTATTTGGGTGGTGTAAACCCAAGGCACTGAGAGTGAGAAAAGGAAAGCAAGGCGAAAGAATGGGAAGTAAGACAAGGAGATAGCAGGTGGAGCCCTGCTTCACAAGCCTTGAAGAAGCACAGCAGTTGTTCACTGGCTACTTGGGAGATCTCCCCATTGGCTGTACTGTTTGGAGAAACGGTGCCTTGCAGCAATCAGGGGAGGGAGGGAATAAGAAGGAATTTATTCCCCTGGGTCTCCCCCGTCTCCCATTAGTCAAGCCTTAGCCCAAGCATTAACTCCCCAACACTCCACGGTTGCTAGTGGCTACGTGAGATGCCAGATCCCATTGCCCTGCGGTGGGGCATTCCATCCAGGTCTGGGAGTGGTGGGAGGAGACAGAAACTCTGGGCATGCGGCTGATGAGTGATGGACAGTATCTGATTCAAGATGTGTCCCATAGAGTCCAATACCGTTTGTCTCATTTACCAAAAAAGGAAACATGGCATAGTGATCAAAGACCTTTCCCAAGGTCACAGGGCTAGTAAGTGGTAAATTCAAGATTTGAAGATAGCCTGGCTCTGGAAACTGTGGAAGACCAAGATAAGGAACTTGGATTTCATGTAGCAGGCAAAGGAGAGTCACTGAAGAGTTTCAAGATGGGGAGTGACATTAAAGAGCTTTTTAATTAAAGCTCCCTCCCAATCTCTACTTTGCTCCAGCTTTCCATGTGGCTAAACTCCACAAAAGCAGGTGGCCGCAGAGACATAGGGGCATTTAAGGCAGTTTTTGAAGAGTCCCTGACAGGGTTCAGAGCTCATACGGGCTTCATTCAACACTGCCTCATAATCTTTCTTGGTCTGCGTAAGCCTGTACCTACCAAAGAGACTGGCTGGTCGGAGGCAGGCAGGATCTGGGTGGAGAAGCCAAAATGAGGGGAAGAGGAGATTGACCTAAAGACCAGAAGCAGGAGGACCAGCCATCTGTCCATCGTTGGCCTGTGGACTGGGGGACCCTGGCACCCGCAGATGAATCCTTCGGTGTTGCCTGAGGTGGTCAGATCTCATGAACTGTCGGCCACACTGATCACATCTATGCGGTCTGTATCTGGTGTGTATCCGCATATGTCGTCCAAGCTCATCAGAACGGAAGAATGACCAGGCGCAACCTTCCCACATACACTTATAGGGCCTCTCACCTGGGAAGGGAAAGTGACAACGGAGAGAAGCGATTAAGTAGAGGAATTTAGGCCAGTCGGTGGGAAGGAAGGGGGTCTGACTCTGGGAGGCAGAGCAGCCAAGGTTGGGAGATCAAAAGGAAAAACACAGGAAAACAGGAGGCAACACGATCAGCAGTCCCCATCATCTTGGTACAGCCACACAGGACTGTGGGAAAGCAAGCTGGTGAGAACAGCACAGTTTGTCATCCCAAAACTGAAGGACAACAGGCTAGTCACCAACCATTACAAACCTAAGCCCAGAGACTCCTCCACTCCACCCCGCCCCACCCCACCCCACCCCACGTACTGGGCACATCATTCACCTGTGTGTTTGCGTTGGTGACTCACAAGGTGGGAGCGCTTAGTGTAAGCTTTCCCGCAGTCCTCGTACTGGCAGCAGTAAGGCCTTGCAACTGCAGATCTCCTCCTGGGAGCCCTCTCCTGCGCCCTGCAGTTCTGCTCTGCTCTTTGTGGAGCAGGTATGGGCTGCTCAGGTAGGAAGGGGTCTTCCTGAGGAGCTGGCTGGCTAACAAAAGAGTCCTGGGATTCGAAAGCCAGCAGTGATGGGGACCCAGTTGGGGGCATTCGGCAGTTGTGGGGCTCTCTAGGGGGCAATATCTGAGCCAAAGAGGGGAGCACTGCCTGGTCCTCAGCAGAAGGCATGGTGGGGGCCAATAACATTTTAGGTGTCAAAGAGTCTCTATTAGAAGGTGTTGCTGGGTGGCATGAATAGGGCATTGTTGGAACGCTAATGTGGGACATCATTGGGATTCCACTGGGACCTGTGTCTGGTGGCCCATTGGAGGGCATCCTTAGGTTCCCCCTGAAGGTCATGGCCACCCCTGGAATGTTGGGCTCTCCGAAGGACATCATCTGGGGCCCCTTAAAAATCCTCATTGCTGGTTGGGAGGGAGACATCCCCGGACAACAAATCATTTGGGAAGGAGGGAGAGTCACTTGGGGGCAGTAGTTCACACCATGCTCAGGCAGCAACACACCGAAAGGTGGGCCCATTTCATTCGCATTCTGCTTCGGCGCCTCAGCAGAAACCAAGGGGATCCTCTCCAGTTGTGGACACTGCAGAATGTGTTGAATGCCCGATGGACCATGGTTCCAAGAGGTGTGCACTCCACTGCTTCTGGGAGATGGAGACATGTCCAGCACGCACATTGACTCCTCAGTATCCTTGCGGGGAGGGAGGGAGAAAGAGACAGAGATGAAATTCATCCTAGCTCAAATGCCCGTTCCACATGTCCCTCCTCCCCATCTCTAGAGCCCACCCGAATCTAGGCCTCCATCATCTCTTGCCTGAATTATGCTACCTCCAGGCCAGTCTCCAGCTTGGACTCTTCTAAGACACAGGCTTTGCTGATAGGACAGTGGAAGCCGAGGTGTGACTCATGCCGTTTTTCTTCCTTGGCATGTTGGTTTTTGGTGTTTTTTATTAAATGTATTGATTAATTTTAGAGAAAGAGAAGTGTCAATTTGTTGTTCCAATTACTCATGAATTCATTGGCTGATTCTTGTATGTGCCCTGACTGGGGATCCAACCCGCAACCTTCGTATATTGGGATGGCTACCTAAGCAACTGAGTTATCTGGCCAGGGCAATGGTATGTTTTTGTTTATTATTTCATAAAAAGCAACAAAAAGGGCAAATAAGAATCTAGGCTTAGAAAATAAAAAGAAAAGAAAAGAAAAAAAAGAAAAGAAAACAATGGAAGCTTCAGATGGCTCCCGGTTTTAGCAAAGCTTAGAAACCATCTGCAAACATTTCCCTACAGAAGAGGGTATCCCCAGAACGGGAACTGCTGTGGCAGGTCTGGAGTCAAGCATTGGAGGAGGTAAGAAAAAGAGGCAGACTTTTAAAAGCACTTTTAAAAAGGGTAGAGGAAAAATAAACCTCAAAAAAAAATCTTTAAAATAAAAAAAGATGGGGGATTGTCTTGGAAGGCAGGGCAGTAGCCCTTGATGACAGACTGGCATAAGAGGAAGGAAAAAACGGGATTGGTGGCAGGACCTCTTGAAACAGGATAGGATTCAAAAATCCTATCGTTTACAGTGTCCATTGCTGTAGTGACACAAAGCGCTCTTGAGATGGGAAAGCTACCCCATCACCTCCCATCCACTCGCCTCCATGGGACAGTGCAAAAAAGACTAAGCAAATATGAAAACCAAAACATAAGTTAAAAAATACAGTATCCACTAAAGATAAAGAAAGATACAAAAACTCAAATCAGAAATTAAAGACTGTAATTTCTGAAAAGAAAAATTCACATGAAAAATGCTGCCACAAATCAAAGAAAAATTAGTAACATTCAAATACAACTTTTTTAGAAAGAGGAAAAAAAGCAGAACTTAAGAAAACAATTGCAGCTTTTACACCAATTACAGAATCACAGAGCATGGAGGAGGGGGATAATGGTGGAAAGAAGGGGAAGGGACTAGTCAAAGGACATGCACGAATGACACGTGGACATGGACAACAGTGCGGGGACTGACTGTGGGAGCGGGGTCTGGGCTGGGCAGGCGAGGGCAAGGGGGGAAATGGAACAGCTGTAACAGGATAACAATAAAAATAAGTTTCAAAAGGAGCACAGAGCAGAAATACATCATTCATTAAACTGCACACTTTAAATGTTTATACTACTAAACATTTAAAGGAAAATACCAATGTTTTCCAAATTCTTCCCAAAAACTGAAGGAGAGAACACTTCCTAACTTATTCTATAAATGTATCATTGCCCTGATACAGAAGCCTGACAAAAAACATCATAAGTAAAGAAACCAATAGACCAAGTCTTTTATGAATATAGATGCAAAAATCCTCAACAACAACAAAAAACTAGCAAACCAGATCCACCAGCACATTAGCAGAATACACAACATGACCAATTGGAATTTATCCCAGAAATGCAAGGGTGATTCGACATATGAAAAATCAATCAATGTAATGCATTACGTAAGTAAAATAAAGGGGAAAAAACACATCACCTCAATTGATGCAGAAAAAGCATTTGAAATAATTCAATACTCTTCATGATTAAAAAACACTCAAAAACTAGAAAGAGAAACTTCCAACATAATAAAAGGCATCCATAAGAAATTCACTGCTAACATTATACTCAAGTAAAAGACCGAAGGCCTTTCCTGTAAGATCAGGAACAAGACAAGGAGGCCCAATTTCACCACTTCTTTTCAACATTGTATTGGCATTTCTAGCCAGAGCAATTAAGCAAGAAAAGAAATAAAAAGCATCCAAATTGAAAAAAGAATTAAAACTATCCCTGTTCTCAGATAATACGATCTTATGTGCAGAAAATGTGAGAGACTACATACGCACTGACACAAACTTGTTAGTACTAATAGACAAATTCAGCGCAGTAGCAGAATACAAATTCAACACAAAAATATCAGTTGTTCCTATACCCTGACAATGAACAATCTGAAAAGGAAATTTGGAAAACAATTCAATTTATGATAGCCATCAAAAAGAATTAAATACTTGGAAATAACCAAGGAGGTTAACTTAATCCCTGAAAACTACAAAACGTTGCTGAAAGAAATTAAAGGCTTAAATAAATGAAAAAACATGTTCATGGATTGGAGGACTTAAGTTATGACATCAATGTTACCCAAAGCAATCTATAGATTTAATACAATTCTGAACAAAATCCTTTTGGCAAAGATAGAGAAATCCACCCTAAAATTCATATAAAGTCAGCAGGAACCCCAAAGAGCAAAAAAAACAACCAAAAAACAAAAAACAAAAAAAACCCCACAAACAAACAAAAATACTTGAAAAACTTACTACAAAGCTATAATAATCAAAACAGTATGGCATTAGCATTAAGAACAGACCAATAGCCCTCAGTTGGTTGGTGTACCTCAGTTGGTTGGTGTGGCTCAGTTGGTTGGAGCACTGTCCCGATAAACCAAAAGGTCATGGTTCAATTCCAGGTTAAGACACATACCTAGGTTGTAGGTTCGGTACCCAGTCAGGGCATTTGCAAGAAGCAACTGATTCATGTTTCTTTCTCAAATTGATGTTTCTATCCTCTTACTCCCTTCCCCACTCTCTAAAATCAAAAAGCATGTCCTTGGGTGAAGATTTAAAAAAACAAACAAAACATAGACCTATAGACCAACAGAAATAGAGCCTAGAAATAAACCCTCACATATATGGTCAAATGAGTTTTGGCAAGGTTGCTTATACCACTCAATGGGGAAAAATATAATCTTTTTTATAAAACTGGATATCCACATGCAAAAGAATCAAGTTGGAACCTTACTTAACACCATATAAAAATTAACTCAAAATGGATCAAGACCTAAAGATAAGACCTAAAGCTATAAAACTCTTAGAAGAAAATGGGGGAAGTTTTATGACATTTGATTTGGCAATTTCTCAGATATGACATCAAAGGCATAGGTAACAAAAGATAAAATAGATAAAGCTGGACTTCATCAAAATTAAAATTTTTGTGCATCTAAAAACACTATCAACAATATAAAAAAGCAAACAAGAGAACAGGAGAAAATACTTGCAAATCACTAATCTGGTAAGGGACCAATATTCAGAATATATATTTAAAAAACATCTGAAACAAAAAAATAAACAACCCAATTCAAAAATGAACATGGAACTTGACTAGGCATTTCTCCAAAAACATACAAATGACCAATAAACACATGAAAAAATGTTCAACGTCACTAATCATTAGGGAAATTCAAATCAAAACCACAATGAGATACTACTGCACACCCACTAAAATGACTATTATTTTTTTTTAAAAATAGCATTAGCCTTGACTACTGTGGCTCAGTGGGTTGAGCATTGTCCTGCAAGCTGAAAGGTGGCCAATTCAATTACCAGTCAGGGCACCTGCCTGGGTTGCAGGTCAGGTATCTGGCTGGGGGTGTGCGAGAGGCAACCAATCAATGTTCCTCTTGCACATCGATGTTTCTCTCCCTCTCTTTCTCTCCCCTTTCCCCTCTCTCTAAAAATAAATAAAATCTTTTTAAAAAGCATTAGCAAGATGTGGAGGAACTGGAATCCTTGTGCACTGCTGTTGAGAATGTAAGTGATGCAGCCACTATGGAAAACAGTATGGCAGTTCCTCAACAAATTAAAAACAGGATTATCAGCAATTCCTCTTCTGGGTATACACCTATAAGAACTGAAAGCAGAGAACTGGAATAGGTATTTGTACCCTCCTGTTCAGAGCAGCATTTTTCATATTAGTCAAAATGTGGAAACAATGCAGGTGCCCATCAAATGATGAATGGATTAAAAAAGTGTGGTATAACCATACAATAGAATATTGTTCTGCCTTAAAATGGAAGAAAATTCTGACACATGTCTCAACCTCAGTGGACCGTGAAGACATAGTGCCAAGTAGAATACACCAGTCACAAAAGGACAAATAATGTATGATTTCATTTATATAAGTTACTTAAGGAAGTCAAATCCAAAGAGACAGAAAGTAGAATGGTGGTGGTCAGGGACTAGGGGTTGGAGGAGGATTAGGAAGTCACTCTTTAGTATTTAGGGAGTTTCCTCCTAGAGATGGACGGTGATGGTGGTTGCCCAATGATGTACATTTGCTTAATGTTACAGAACTACATGCACCTAAAGATGGTTATAATGATACTTTTACATTATGTAGACTTGACGATTTTTAAATGTTTTTAAAAAGGACACAAAAGTGATACCCACTGGCCAAGTCTGTGAAAATTTGAGAATCAAAAAGAACAATGATTGTTGATTTTAATAGATTGAATCTATGAAAACTCATAAGCCGAAAGTGTCAAGAAGTCAGCTCTTATCCCAGCTTCAGACTTTGTGAATTGAAGTGAAAGAATCAAGCAGTCTGTCCTTTCGGTAGGAAACTTGTTTCAAAACCACCAAATGATTCCAGTTGTTTAAGATAAATCCTACTTTACAGAAGAATACAACCTAATAAATATAGAAGGAATGGTAAAATTGGAAAATCATAATATTACAGCCCCTAATGAAACTTTTGATTGAAGAAAAATTAATATTTGGTTGAAACCAGTAGGTGAATGCTTGGTGGGAAACTGGGACATTTGGATGCATCCAAGGCAACAGTACACAGGTTTTATTTCTGACTGCAAGGCTAACGATACGCTCGACTAGGCTATCGATCAGACTTTTCGCCACCTTAATTCAAGGGTAAGCCTAGTGTCACCAAATGTGGAGGGCCAGGGGAGCCTCCTCATGTAGTGCAAGATGGAGCTAACCATGCCTGAGACATTCTTACCAAAAACCAAGAATCCAATTAAACTTTAAGATCCAACTATAATTTAGAGGTAATACAAGAGATAGAAGATTGAGCTAAATGATTCCATGAGAAACCAATTTGATAAATCCAGAAGAAGGAACATTCTATAGGACAAAGATCAAGATCATGAAAAAAGGAAAGTTAGGAAAAAATTTCAAAAAGACCCAAAGAACATAATACCCACACGCAGTGTAGTCTTAAATTGGATCCTGGTTTGGACATATCCACTGAAGGACATTTTAGGGGAATTTGAATAGGAATTGCTCTAAGATGATATTAAAAGATTATCTATTGCCCTGGCTAGACTGAGCACTGGCCTGCAAACCCAAAGGTTGCCCGTTGATTCCTAGGCAGGGCACATGCCTGGGTTGCAGGCCGAGTCCCTGGTTGGGGGTGTGCAAGAGGCAACCAATCAATGTATCTCTCACACCATTGTTTCTCTCCCTCTCTTTCTCCCTCCCTTTCCCTCTCTCTAAACGTAAATAAATAAAGTCTTTTTAAAAAAGATTATCTATCATTAATCTTGATAGGTTTAACAATGTTTTGACTATAGAGAGGGGGGGAAACAATCTTTTTTTCCTTGGCACTCAAACAGGAGCCTGAAAGGAGAAAATTTTTAAATGCTACAAAAGTTGGGGAGATCCTGTTTCATTCCCTACTATACGTTCAGCAACTAGCAGAAGTAGACACATAGGAGGTCCCAGATAAATGTCTACTGGATAGGTATTTCTGGTGTCCCATCCCCTCTTCTCTTTCTGATCCGTCACAGGCAAACTTCTTGGGAAGTGTCTAAACTCGCCTTCACCACTTCCTCACCTATTAATCCCCCAACTTCACTCCTGTCCCCATTGCTCCACAGAACCAACTTTGTGTAAAGGTCACCACTGACCTCCAAATCACTAAGTCCAAAACCTTGTCAAACTCCTCTTTGCTGGACGTCTCAGGAGCTTCTGAGACTACTGGCCACACTCTTCTTGAAATGTTTCCTTTCCTTGGCCTCAGGAACACGTTGCAGGGACACCTACCCACACACTGGCCTAGTTTTCTCCTTCCCTTCTCTCTGGTCCTCCTCCTTCTCAGCCTCCACTACAGGTTTCCCTGTGCTACTCTCAGGCAATCTTTCTCATGCTAATGATCCATTTCTGTTTATATTCCAATTATTCTTAAAACAATAGCTCCAGGGCAGATCTATCCCGAATCTTCCAACTGCCTAATGTTCTGTCCATTTCGATAACCCACAGGCACTTTGGACTAAGTCCAAAACTCCTGATAATCCTTACCCACCCCCAAGTCACCCCCAGAACGTTAAAAACAAAAACAAACAAAAAACACCCCACCACCAACGACTTAATCCTGTTTCTTCTCATCCTTTCCTCTCTCAGAAAATGTCCACTATTCTCACCTAGTTGTGCAAACCAGAAATGTGTTCATTGTCCAGGATGCCTCCTTCACCACCTTGATCCAAGAAATTACCAGCTTTTGTGATGTCCAGCTGCAAAACATTTCCAGGATCTCCATCTCCACTGTCACCTCTCTAGTTAGGCCGCCATTTTAACTTCCACTTGGATTATCACAATAGCTTTCTAACTATTTCCTTGAGTTCTGCCCACAACTGCTAGGGCACTCTTTTAAAAAAATGAAAATCTAGGTTGGAAAAAATGCAAAGCTAACTGTGACTGATCATGGTAAACTCATCAATGGCTTCCCACTGCTCTTGCAACAACCAGCTCAAACCTAGCGTGACCTCGATGGTGCGGAGATCCCCGCCTCCCCGCCCCCTTCCTTTGGGCCACTCTCCCCTCACTCTCTGGGCCTGGCCTCGCTTCCTCCAAGGTGCATACAGTTTCTGGTCTCAGGACCTGCAAACTCTTCCCCCTAAGCAGTTCTCCAGTCCCAGACCAAATCCACCGATGTCTTCTCTGTCCTAAACCAGATCGAACGCCTCTGCTATTTGTCCCCGCGGTCTCCGTATTTTCCGTCACAATTTGTACACTTCCGATCATACAGTGATTTATTAGTAAAATGGTATAATGTCTTAAGGAAAATTCACCATGTATTCCCAGGGTCTGGCAAAGGCCTGATCCTTTGTAGGACTCCAATAAACATTTAATTTTTCTTCCGTGTACGTGTCCCACTGCCTTCCTAACTTTTTGCCTCCTTTCCTCAGTACTCATGTCCCTCTCCTTGAAGCTACATGGAACTTTTTACCTGAAACCAGCACAGGCGCTAACCGTCGGCGAATATGAATAAACAACACGTGATTTTGTTGTTGTTGTAGACCTATAGGGTAATGTCCAGTTGCAGAATCATTGCACTTTTTTTTCAATTACAGTTTACATTCACTATAACGACACATGATTTGTGTCCTCGATCTTCCATCCCTCCCAACCCCGTCCCTCGAATTTCTAGAGCCCAAAGGTCTGCTTTCCTCCACTCCTCCAGCCTCGGTTCCTCCAGCCCCCGCGCCCTGCCCTGAGGCTGACGCCGGACCCACCTCTGCGAACTGGTGCTGAGCTGCCTGCCACTGGCTCAGAACCTCGTCCTCTTGCTCCATCTCAGCCTGGGATCCGCCGCACCTCGGGACTGGGTGCGGGCCCAAACCACAACAGAGCAGATCTGAGCCCTGCTGCCGTGGCGTCGCAGATCGGGTGGTGTCGCGTACCTCCACGCCACAATCACCGCGTTCCACCTCTACTTCCCGCCGCGCTGCAGGGCGGGGTCAAGGGACGCACCCAGCGACCCACCCCGCGGTCGCAGCCCCACCCCGCCCGGCTCTCTCTGCCCAGGTGCTTCCCGGGCAAGACCTCAGACATTCACAACTTCTTAGGTCTCAGGTCTGCCCCTTTCACTCTTCAGCCTGAGCCTCTCTGTTTGGCCAAAATGGGGATGGGGACACTGAAGTTTCAGACTCCGGCTTGGACTTGTCGACCTCAGATGAAGAAACAGAGAGTGGCTGCAGAGAGTGGCAGATCGGGCTGCAGGGCCTCTGCAGACATGAGGGCCTCCGCCACCACCCATCCAGGCCAGGGCTCTCGCCCTAATCCCCCGGAGGCCTGGATCTTGTCCACCAGGGAGGGCTGACCCTCCTGGGTAAAAACCCAAAGCTGGGACTCCATGGTATGAGGTCTTTCTTCTATGACACGTATGGAATACCTGTTGGGTGTCAGACCCTGGTGTTTGGAACTAGGGATACGGTGGCAAATAAGACAGAACAAAGTCCTTGCTCTTAAGGAATTTTCGTCCTAAATGGACAGACAAGAAATAACTATAATAAAGTCAATAATATAATCTTAGACAATGGCAAGTGCTATGCAAAAAACGTAATAGAGAAATGTGGCCTAAAAGGAGCCGTGCATAGGCAGAGGGAAGGAACCTGAAGCAAGAAAGAGCTTGGTATGCTAGAGGGAAACTAGGACAGCCAGCTGACCCCGGTTATGTGAGGCGGAGGAGAGAACAATGTGAGGACAGAGATGGTTAAGGTCTTGAAGATCATGGGCAGTAGTTTGAATTTTATTCTAAGTGTGATGGGAAGCAACTGAAAGACTTTAAACAGGAAGTTGATGTAATCTAAGTTTTTAAAGTAATCATTGGGCTCCTTTGGGGTTTATGGATTATAGGGGACAAGGTGGAAGCTGAAACACCAGTTAGAAAGCTAAAGGAGCTCACCAAGGAAAATATGTCATTGTTTGGTGGGGTTGGTGATGATGATTAGAGAACATTTGAAAATTAGGCCCTGGCTGGCATGGCTCGGGGGTTTAAATGCTGGCCTGTGAACCAAAGTGTCGCTGGTTCGATTCCCAGTCAGGGCACATGCCTGGGTTGTGGGCCAGGTCCACAGTAGGGGGCACACGAGAGGCAACCACACATTGATGTTTCCCTCTTTCTCCCTCCTTTCCCTCTCTCTAAAAATAAATAAAGTCTTTTTAAAAATTTTAAAAATTAAATTTAAATGGGACAGACTTGGTAATGGATTGGAGTGGTAAAGGGATGGGAGGAAAAGAGGAATCAAAGAGGATTTCTAGATTTTTGACTTGAGCACCTGAGTGGTGACTGCACCATTTTGTGATATGAAAAAATGGAAAGAGAAGTAGATTTGCAAGCAGGTGAAACCAGAATTCCACTTTAGACATGTTGATTTTGAAATGGCTATTAAGTATGCTCAGGGAGACACCAGCACTGTAAATGCAAATTTTGGTGTTGTCAGCAAAACATGGTAGTTATCAAGCCATTGGAGTGAGAGAGTTAGAGAAAGCCCAGAGACCTCCTGCATTTAAGACTCAGCAAAGCAGTGAGGTCATCCAAGGAGACTCTAGAAATCACAGCCAGAGAAGTAGGAAAGTCAGGAAACTATATTTTAAGAAGCCAAGAGAAGCTCATGTTTAAAAGAGGGACTCTTTGGCCCTAACCGTGTAGCTCAATTGGTTGGAGCCTCATCCCTATGAACCAAAGTTGTGGGTTTGATCCCCAGTCAGGGCACGCATAGTAATCAACAGGTGAGTGCATGAATAGGTGGAACAAGTAGATCTCTCTCTCTCTCTCTCCCCCCCACCTCTCTCTCTTTCTCCCTCCCCCAACCCTCCTCCCACCCTCCTTCCTCTCTCTCTCAAATCAACAAATAAAAGAATAATAAATAAATAAATAAAAGAGGGACTGTTCATCTGCATCAAATATTGCTAAGAAACAGGTGAGTATCGTTTGGATTTGGCAAAATGGAGGCCATTGGTGACTTTCAAAGAAGACCTCTGTTACGGAGGAGAGAAAAGCTGGTTGGAGTGGGAAAAAGTGAACAGGCACTGCTGAGATGGAGACACTGAGACACTGTAAATAGCTCTTTCAAAGAAGTTTGGCTATGAATGAGGGCAGAGAAATGAGGTAGTAGTTGGAAGAGAGATTAAGGGAGGCTGGCAGGGATCCACCAATAAAAAGAAACCAATACTGAAACAGAGAGAGGGCTTAATTATTGGAGTGACATAGATAAGCCAAGAAAGGACAGGACCCAAGATACAGATAGACCAGTGGGCCTTTGGTGAGCCCAGGGACATTTGCTCTATCATAACAGGTGGGATAACAATCGTCTTAAGTTATCTTAGTGTCTCCAGCCACTAGCATGGGGTAGAGCTGAGAACAGTCTCTTGAGAAACAGTGGTTCTGCTTCTCTGGTGAATACTTGCTCAGGTATCACCTCCTGGGCCCATCTCTGATTCCCATTTGATGCTTCTTACAGTTACCGTGTGCCTAGTGTGTCTCCCAACAGGGCACTAAGAAAATATTTGTGGAATGAATTGTATTTGACACATGGAGCAGATCATTTTTAACACCTTGTTCTTCTATAAGATAAAATTATTTTCATAATTCAAATTTCATATTTCAAATGATCGTGAAATGAAATGAATAATAATAGTCAGAAAAATGTCAAAGTGAAAACTTTCTTTAACAAATCTTTGTATGTATATTCATACCAGTAAAATCAATGCATACAATTACTATAAGGTAAAAAAAAAAAATACAACTATTTATTCTACTTTTGATTGAAAGAGCTGAATACAAGAGGAGGTGTGGTGTAGCCATTTTTTAATCAGTCTAGCATGGTTCTCGCTTATGTTTTCTTTTGCTTCCTGGATACTGCCTGCCTCACACTAGCTTTGTAAATCATTGAACTCCTGTAATGAAAAATGTAATGACCTCCAAAACTGTTTGAACTTTGATCCTTTCATTATATACTGATATAATACTTTATGTAAATGATCCTCCAGTAGCTAAAGTGAATTTTAGTTTACCAAACTGCTAAATTGTACCATTGATAATAACATTTATTTTCCTGACTCATCTTTCACTTCAAAACAACTAACAATTTTTAAAGAATAAATTTCCATGTCAAAAATATGATTCAAGTTCAGTAAAATATTTTATGTGTTAAGTAAAATTTGCACTTAACTAAACAAAAATATTTTGCCTCTCATTTTGCACTCTGTTTTCATTGTTTTATACCTGAACACAAAACTTCAGCTGGCTTACTTTAAGGAGAATTAAAGTAAGTCTAATTCTGTATCTTTGCCTTTATATTCACTAACTATAAATCATAATTAGTTATTTGGAAGCTACTGTATAAACACAGTGGTAACTAATACCCCAGGGGTTGGAGACATGACCTGTGCCTAAAGTGAGCTCCAAACATGTGTGGCTGAGTACATGTGTTTCTCAGTGACCATATAAATAGGCATTCTCCAAATTAACTTCCATACAGAATACAATGTTTATTTAAAAGTCTATGATAAAAAAATGCTCATATAAGCTTACTTATACAATTTTATGTGTTTTTTCTTTAATGTCATTGAGATATAATTGACATGAAAATTATATTGGTTTCAGGTGCATAATATAATGATTTGATATTTATATATACTGTGAAATGATCACCACAGTAAGTCTAGCTAACGTCCATCACCACATATAGTTACAAATATTTTTCTTGTGATGAGAACTTTGAGATCTACTCTCTTAGCAATTTCCAAGTATGCAATGCAGTGTTATTAACTATAGCTGCCATGCTGTCCATTGCATCCCCAGTACTTTATATTATAACTGGAAGTTTGTACCTTTTTACCACCTTCACCCATTTTACCCACCCCCACCCCCACCCCTGACAACTATCAGTCTGTTGTTCTCTGTACAAAGTTTAGTGTTTTGTTTTGTTTCATTTTAGATCCCACACACAAGTGTGATCAAATGGCATTTGTCTTATTTCATTTTGTGTAATACCCTCAAGATCCGTCCATGTTGTTATAAATGGCAAGATATTCTCCTTTTTATGGCTGAATAATATTCCATGGTATATATGTACCACATCTTTGTCTATTCATCCATCGATGGACACCTAAGTTGTTTCCACGTCTTGGTTTTTGTAAATAATGCTGCAGTGAACATGGGGATGCAGATATCCCCATGTTCATTGAAAAGTCAGTGTTTTCTTTTCCTTCAGATAAATACTCAGAAATAGAATTATTGCATCATACGGTAGTTCTCTGTGTTTTGAGGAATCTCCACAGGTTTGTTTTTTTTAAGATTTTATTTATTTATTTTTAGACAGAGGGGAAGGGAGGGAGAAAGAAGGAGAGAAACATCAATGTGTGGTTGCCTCTCACGTGCCCCTCTTCTCAGGACCTGGCCCGCAACCCAGGCTTGTGCCCTCACTGGGAATAAAATCAACCACCCTTTGGTTCGCAGTCTGGCGCTCAATCCACTGGGCCACACCAGCCCCGGCTCCATAGTTTCCACAGTAGCTGTACTGATTTATATACTCACCAACAGTGTACAAGGGCTCCCTTTTCTCCACAACTTCACCAACACTTGTTATTTCTTGTCTTTTTTTAAGATAACCATTCTAACAGGTGTGAACTGACATCGCAAGTGGTTTTGATTTGCAATGCCCCAACGACTGATTGGTGATGTTGAGTGCTTTTTCAGGTACCTGTTGGTCATCTATATGTCCTCTTTGGAAAAATCTATTCAGATCCTCTGCCCATTTTTTAATCAGATTTTTGTTGCTATTGAGTTGCA